GTAAATCTGAAACTTACATATGCATATTCACAATACTAACTCGCATAAGAAAAATTATAATAGTTAAAATATACCAAAGTTTACTGAACTTCCTAGACCTCTAGCCGAATTCTTGTTTCGTCTTTACTTGCTGTCAGTATCAGAATCTTAAGTAAATAGGATAATATAAAGAAATTAAGGTTTATTCCGAACTTCAGTTCAAAATATAAAACTAAAACAATCTTTGAGTTATCACTGTGGGTGGCTGGCGGCAGGTAGCGCTTTTGATTACTTATAATGATAAGAACATTTTTGAGATTGAACAATACTTACTATATTTTAAACTCAAAACATATTTATTACAATTACGAGAAGCTCTTTACAAATATGTATAATTCGTGGATAGCATATAACATATATGGTAGTGAAGTATAGTCCTCCTGACGTGAGGAGCCTGCTAACGAAGGTCTCTCTAGTCGAGAGTTCAAGAGCATTCTGACGTGCTGTTTCGATGGAAAAAATCTTCAGACTGAATTAGCCACGCCTCCTTAATTTTTCAGTAGTATTTTACATCCTCTGATTCGTTATATCTGGAAAGATATCAGAGTAAAAACAAGATCATTGGTTCGTCAGCCCTCCTGAAATCGAGCGGCTTTAACGACAGACACAGATCAGAACGTTAAAATCTCCCGACACTGGTCGTGAATTTGTCTCTTGTATTGTCAACTAAAACGAATTATTGCGTCTGAGATGTCAGACCAAGTCGTGTGACACGTCGTAAAAGCTTGAAAACAGTGACTTGGGTGACCGCACACACGATTTTCTCGTCTTTGTGTGGTCCGCCGCAAATCAATAAAATTAACTTCCGCATCTTGGGGGATGGACAGATAATAATAATTTTTAAGTATTATCACGTCAAAAGTTTAGTTTTGGATAGTCTAGTTAGCCTAGTCTTAGCAACTTGAATGTGAAATTCCAAGATGAAATTTTCAATCAGAGGAAACTCACCAGTTGGTTGGAATAGTGTCAACACCACTATTCAGCTGTTTTACTGAACAACGACTAGTCTAAGAGAAGCTTGACTACAACCGGCTGATGATGCGAAGTATCTCTCTTAGAGTTTTTGCTCTTATTTAAAACATTTATCATTTACATATTCTAGCAAAGAAAACGATGTAGGATAAATTTTAACGTAAAAAAATAACATGTTAATTAAAATAAGCCTTACAAGTTAATTAATTATAGCGAATTTCTCAAGAGCTGTCTGCCTAATATGGTTTAACCCTTTGTTGCATCATGTCCGCTGTAGTAGACAAAAGTTTAAATTTGTTTATTCTTCTATAAATGTCTTAACAGATTCCATTCCTGTGTTTATTCATTCTATAGTATTAGAACTTTCAACTGTCGATCATAGATGGGTGTATAGCATCACTAAGTAAAGCATTGCTATTTGGAAAATGGCTGCTACTTCTGTTTCCGAGTTAGTACAATTTCTCATAGTAAACATTATATAATATTGCTTACATTTTCTTATAATGCCATTTTTTATTCACAATTAGTAATTATAGACATTTTATTTTAAATGAGTTTGAGAAAATTGTGGAGTGGATAGATAAAGATCTACCGGGAAGAGTGAACTGAAACCCAAATGTACTGCTTATCAAGCCAAAACACCGCTGGAAATGTTTATGCTTGGAAAGGAATTTCTAGAACATTTGACATTTGAATCCAATAGGTACAGGTTATAAAATCGTAGCAAAATGAATTAAATCACAATCGACGAAATGAAGGTATTTTGGGGGATCTGTATGCACATGCCAGTTGTAGATTTACCATTTAGAAGATGGTAATGATCACTGCAAACAAGGCAGGAAATGATTTCAAATGCAATGACCGTAAATCGTTGGGAAGAGATTTGTATGCATGTACGCATATGCATTCTGTTCACTGTAGTGAACAAACTGTAGCAATTATTTAAAACGAAATTTGAAAAAAAAATTATTATTATTAAGGTTATTTTAAGTAAAAAAAAATACAAACATTTTCGTTTAACTTCTCTAGATTATTTGTATGCAACAAAGGGTTAATGTCGCAAATACTGAATGAAACACTTTGTTTTGAAAAAGCATTTATATTTATGTGCAGATAATATTTAGATTTATATTAATGTGCAGATATTTACGTGCAAATCGCAAAAACACAAAATGGATAAATGGAAAACGCATTTAAAGGTTGGCTACTTTGAGAACAAATGGGTTATTATTTCTAACAGTGAACTACAGCAATATGATACATTTAATGTGGATTCCTTTTACTTTCTAAGATATATTGGTCACTTTCAGAGGTGAAATTTTATTATTTGCGTCCCTTTTCCTATACAGAAACTGTTCGCACATGTTTTAGACGATTCTGCTTTGCTGTAAAACAACATCTTTAATTTGGAATTTTTTTAATGCAACTATATTTTTGAAAGTATAAATTATCGTCTTCTACTTGACAATTTTGTTTTCATGAAATGACGCTTTGAAAGAAGCAATGGATAGAAGGCTGGGTGTGTGTTCTTTCCGAAGAAACGTCTTCGTATCTAGTTATTAAAAACTTTTTGAAAGCCATGGTTTTTCGATATCTAAAGCTACGATAGATAATGTTGTCAACAACAAAGGAATAAAACGTCAAAATTTAGCTTCAAGTGGAAAAATTGTTCCAAATACGTATCCAAGGAAGAAATAGAATGTTTCGAATATTGCAAAAGTAATATCTTTAATGTTAAAAAAAATCCGCCAAGTGTAGAGACATTAGGAGTTTTTGGAAGCAGGAGAAATGAAAAATTTGCAATTACGCGCTGAGCCTGCAGACCACTACACCACGAAGACTTGCTAAGAAGGCGGGAGAAATACCTTCTAAAAGGAAAGTTGAGAAATCATTAAAATACTTAGTGTCAACTGTAAATAAAATGATTAATGCTGACTGGAATCCTAAAAAGACGAAAAAACATAATGTGTATCTCCACCTCATATCCTCGAACGCAGAATGCGCGTGAGTGAAACTGTCAGTTTTTTCACTTGTACTGTAAAATACTATCGCAGTTTTAGGTCATTAACTTTAATTTCTAATTTTGAGACATAGAACAATGTCAAAATTTTAAATAAGTAACAGACAAAATGACAGCGTCACTTGCAAAGCAAGGAAAATGAACATTTATATTATAAAAAGAATAAAAGAATACGTCGAAACGTTTTCGTTTTCGTTTTTTTTTTTTTTTTTTTTTTTTTTTTCTTTGTCTGTATTGTCTTATCTTTATCTATTTTCAGATACATTGTGTAAAAATATTTGATAATTGTAAAATTATTATAATAAGTTAAAGAAATATCAATCCGTTATCTAATCCATTCCATTCGCTACTAAATCTCTTAATCTGTCACCAATCTGTATTTGCCTTTTTGGACTCTTAAAAAGCGGGTTGCCCAGACGTCGACCTCCAACCTCCTTAGATTTCGGAAAGCTTTTCGAGAGCAATGGGATAAAATACTTCTTCCGATACTACAAAAGGCTTTATTGTCTTGAAAATTACAGTGTATAAAGATAGTGAAGAATAAGGGGTAACAATTAGAACATTTAAAACATAAAAATTTTGAGTAAAATAGTTTAGTAATTACAATAAAAATCGTCTAAAAATGTGCGAACAGTAAGCGTTTCTCATTAAGTAAAATTCATTTTATCATGAAAAAAGAATGAACTGCAGAACATGAGACAAATCAGCCTAGTGTATAATAAATTAGATTCTTATACATTTTAATAGAGGAGCAAATGATATATTTTTAGTAAAAATATTCATCAGTCATGAATATTGTTACTGATTACTGATATAAATTCAATATAACCTGTAGGATCAAATATTTTTGTGATATTAAAAGTAACTGCCTTTTGGTTTCTAGACTAAACGACATTAAAATTATGTTTATATCACAAAGCATTTCGTCTGAGGAGACGTCTCATAGTAAGCCTAACACTTGAACCGAGCCTTTTCCTGAGGATTCCGTTTTAGCATATTTCTTAGAGTTGTTAATTCATCCTCTAAAGTGTCCAGTGTATATCAATTGCTCAACGCCTTCGGCAAAACTCTCAATCCTTTTCATTTTCTACACTGGCATGTATTGATTTGCGCATTTAAATAACATCAGAAAGAGGTTTTGGCTTAGCGATAAAAATCCTTCCATTACAAAAAAGTGCTCAGAAACAGAAAGGCATGAGGCTGGGAATCGATGAAAAATAACATTATTTTTTATCTTGAATCTTTGTAACTTGCACTGCTTATCATCGAAAGAAAATAAATCAATTCTAATGTTATTTTAGCTGAACTTCTTTTAGCAATATTTATGTGGCAAGTGTTATTTTTACCCTAAGTACAATCAATGAAATGGTTCCTAACATCGTATTTTATGCCAACTGCAAAAGTGGTGGTATTTTACTTCTGGTGTGCGTTATCATCGGTATCCATGATCAAATCTAATAGTTTAAGATGAAATTTACTTTTAATGTACGAATTGTAATCATTTCTATCTGCTTCTTTTTTTTATTCGAGCAATAAAATATTTCCTTAACATTAAGACACAATAACACGCCGAGCAAATACTAATTCAAAAGTCAAACCACAAAAATCAACCACCATCCTCAACTGCAAAAGAGGATGGTGGTTCGGTAAAACCATCGAAACTAGTCCTGTGAAAATTTGAAAATATAACGCTGATTTTTGTGGTTTGACTTCTGAATTAGTATTTCCTTAACATAGTTAATATTATATTTGTGTTTTTATTCAATAGCAAAAATTTAGTTTACTAGTAGATACTATTTCTTATTTAAGAAGAGAAGTGATATATTTGTATGATATTTAATATTTTCAATTTTTTAATATTTGCATATGATTTTTTTAAAAATGTCTTTGAAATGTGAGATTGTAATCTGCGGATAATTTATAGTTTTTTTTTTTTTCTTTCTTTCTTTTTTTCGTTTATTTATTTCAGGAAGAGCAGCGACGCTTTGCGGATGAAAGCGAGCGAAGAGCTCAGAGACTTCGCCAGCTTCTGGAAGCGGCAGAAGCAGAAAGAAAAGATCTGGCAACCAAACTGGAAGAAGAACGGAAGTAAGAACGTACTGCAGATTACATCTATCTGTTAACAGCACTCATAACAGCTAAGCCTTAAACTATAAACCGGAAACTTAAAAAATGACTTATCTGCATGTAATGGGTTTTCAGAGGGCACGTTCATTTAAAGCTTTTCGGAACTCTGTTGGATTTTAGAAAAGCAGGCGAAAGCTATGTGCCAGAAGGAAAAGATGCCTTCGTAGAAAACATTTTAAAGCAAAATGGCATGGGCTTCCAGATGCCCATATTCGGCTGGAAACATACCTTATTCAAAATTGGATGGCTCTAGGTACCGTTGTTTATCACAATGCAAGAAGCATACATACATTTATGCAGATTCTTTATTATTTAATTTCTTTAAATATAATACAGGTCTCTAATATTTGGTGGCAATAATTTGAAAAGTGAACCAAGGCAAAATGCCAGAACGAAATTAATAGTCCTTCTGGGCAAATTGCCCCTTTGGACTAATAATGTTAATAAATAGCAAAACTTGAAAAAATTATTTTTTATATTCGTAAACTAAAATTAAATACTTAACAGGTAAATAATGAATTCCCCACTGAAACTGTGAAAGTGTTCCCAGGGGGAAAATTCCTGCCCCTCAGTTAAGAAACCACTGGGCTAATGTTTTAGGAAGATAGTAACTAGCTGCTAATTGCTACGCTTTCAAGAACTGAGGGTTCAATGTGTAACAGATCCCAAGTAGCTCGTAACTATGCGTAAAACATTTTGAAAAACTGAAATAATTACATACATTTTATACTTTTGTTAAGTGTTTGTATCTAAATATGGTTAATTAATTGCTTCTCGCTGAAAGAGGTTATTTCGAAATTCCCTAACACTGCCGGTATAAGGTTACTAAATGCTTTCATTTACTATGGCAGTCAAAGGAAACCGTAATCACGCCAGAGATCTGGAGTTCGATAACTTAGCCTCAAATCATCCATAAATAATTAGAGAAGGTGAATGTGTATCTGATTCAGTGAAATAGTAGACTGAATGTCAGTTTGTGTTTGCTTCGATGTGATTGGTGGATTCTTGTGTTAGGCTGGCATAAAATTCAATATTTAGAAGGAAAGTTTCGGCTTGACCTTCACAGGTAGTTTGCGAGGTTTTGTTTTTGTTAGTAAGACAGGAACAATCGCTGTATGGATAAATCCAATTTAAAATTTACTAGAGCTCGTTCTCTGAACCTGTGGAGGAAGGGGAAAATTACGCGAATATGTTTTTTTCAGAAACTGGCTCTAAAGGGCTAGGGGGCGGAACGTACTAAAGGAAATATGGAACTATCATTGCTAGTGCGTAAGGTCTGTAGCAAATGATAGATGGCGTTTGAACTACTCTTGAATATGTACAGTCTTGCCTGCTGACTGATTCTCTGTTTCTTCAAGAAAGTGCTCCAAAGCTATCTGCCTTAAAAGGAGTGTTTTCATTGTATATTTTGTAAAGGAAAACGACTCAATTACACAGTGCACATGAGAAGATCTCGCAGAATACCCCTTGCGGCCAGCACAGTTTCCAAGAGTGTAAACTGGAACGAAATAATGTTCAATGGTCAGCCTTTGACGTGTCAGTGATGAAAGGACTTAATACAATTAAAAAACTAATTAATACAATTAGAGAATAATGTAGTATATAAAAATATAACTCTTTTTAACTGGATTACACTGCTTAAAAATAAATGTTCCTTCTCCCTTTGCATGAAATTTTTAACACAAAAATAAAATTCACGTTAATTCAAAAAGATTTAACACCATGCCGTAATTGAAAGGGTGCTTTTAGTGTCAGATTCAATTTCCGTAATCCGTAATTTATAAGCATTGCGCAGTAAAAAATACAAAAAATTCTAACCGCCTTTTTAAGCGAATTTGAATTCAATGGTATTCCTTTTAAGTTCTTCTATAAACTACGTCTAGTCTTTTTGAATGCCATTTTATAACTCTCTTTCTTCACGTCTAATGATATTTATTCTTTCGCTATTTACACAGTGCTTCTGTGTTTTTTGAATACTCATTAAATTTATGTAACCAAACGAAATATTTTGCAAACATAACAGTGTAAAATAAAATAGATTGAGACGTAGTTTATTCACAAAAGGAAAAAGATTGTAAATGATTAACTACCGCTATAAAGAGTTGAAATAGCTATGTGAATTTGTGTTTAAGACGTCTTTTACGTGTATGGCCGAAACTGATGCAAACTGTATTCATGGTTAACGCATGGAGTTTTGAACGACATCAGAAGGCAGCAACACGCCTCCCGAAACCGTCTCACACAGTCCTTAATGGAAATAATATTGGAAAAGCGTGCTGGCATTTCATTTGGATTTGGACTATAGTTCCTTCTTCAGCAAATTGGTGCACGAGGCGAGCAATGGGAGGGCGGGCATTATCTGCTAAGCAAAATGAAAGTATCGTCAATTAAGGCATCATACGGAGGAACAATACGATCCAGTATGTCGTCACTGTACCTCTGTACATTCAGAGTTCCATCTGGCAGGACATACAGACTAGGCGCCCACCTAAAGACTCCCATTCGTACAAAAACATGACCTCCCAAATAGGAACCCCTTTCCCGTATGTCAGGTCGAAAATATCGAATGTTTATTTCTCTTCATATGTAAACACGACGAAAATTACTACAGAGCAAAGCGGGACTCATCAGTGAATAGAACAAACAATTCCACTGATTTTCAGTCTAGTCCGCATGACGTAGTACCCAATTCAGGTGCTCCTTCCGGTGGAGTGCGGGACTCACAGTGCCGGTGGCCTGGCATACAGACCTTTTTTCATGTAGCGTTCAGCGTTCTGTCGTGACTGTTTCATTAAGAAATAAGCTGAAATGGAGTTTCAGTCCAGGTGCGGCGTGCACTAAGTACCAAATACTGGTCATTTACAGAAGTAATATTTCATAGCCTACATTCGGCAGGTCTCCGAGAAGCTGAACGTGTAGCTAGAAATTGCTTCCACAACTTACCACGGAACGGTCGACATTTAGCCATTTTGCAACTCCTTCTAATCTTCCTATGGCTCTATAACGCAATTCTGCTGGCAAATGTTCGCCTCGAACTCATTTTTACACTTTGCCTATCTCGAAATTCTTTTATATACTGTAGTTAACTGAATAGAGATTCCCTGCTAAATAGGTGGTTTTATATTTATGAAAAACGATGGTAGCGTTCTTCTTTTGCATTATGCTGCTCCATGAAACGTACTTTTATTCGTAACATAATCAAATTTCAAGCATTTCGAACTACTTTTAGCCGATTTATAGCAATTTTTCAATTTGTTTCGTCACTTTTGGAAACTAGTGCATATTGAAAGAACATACTATTCGGACGTATTGGATATCACTGTGAGCACAGATTTAGGGTCATGGTTTATGAATATTTGACTGATAATTCGTAAGTTCTGATCCCATACAATACAAAATGAAACTATTATTATTTAGACCAGTTTGTATGAAACCCGAATGTCATAATTTGACATGATGTTTGAAAAAACTATGGTATCCGCATAATCAAAGCGATGTTTAAACATTTGCTTATGTAAAGTGTTTATGTAACCAAATTTTCCAAGCTTGTTCTTTTTCCCTGCTTGCTAGTCAATTCCCTCTTCTTGCTCCTCGGATCAGTGTCATTTCCCAAATTTCCTTCCCCAATGTAAACCGGTGGGTAATAACACAAAACTAGACCATTATTATGTTGTAGACAGATACAATATTTAAGATCGTTTACCGTTACCAGTTGTTCCTAAGAACAGCTATTATAATGGCTCAAAACTGCTGTGGGCATTCTCAGTGGAAACAAATCTATTTACGTCGACATAACCTACTTGCCATCATCTTTATGACTTCATAAAGCTATTCCTTTATAGAAGACTTCATAACAGAATCTTTTATGAAGAACCATCTCACACGTATCCAATATATCTGATGCACCAACGAAAAATCCATTGGTTATGATAAATTTTCTATCAGCATATAGATTAAATTGAAAGCATCTGTATACATTTAAATTTTTAGCCCAAATGAGCATTAGCTCAGATGCACGTTTTGGCATTTTCCACCGTCCACTATAAAATGGCGTTTTACTTTTCAAATTGTTGCCACTAAATAGCCCCGCATTATATTTAAAGAAATTAAATAATGAAGAATCTGCATGAACGTATCTATGTTTCTCGCACTGTGAAAAACAACGGTACTAGAGACATCAAATTTTGAATAACGTACTTCTCTACCCGAATATGGGCATCCGGAACCCAAATTTGGAATTTGTTTTTATTAACTAGTATTTCATATTTCGTAAAACTAAAAAATGTTTTGTTAGCAAACTCACGATTTCGAAACGTTCCATTAACATCACGTGCATCTTCCCAAGCACGGATATTCTATGCGCGAGGTTTATTATTATTATTATTATTATTATTATTATTATTATTGCTGTTCAATTGAATTTTATCTTTTAAGTACGAAGTACATCATATTTAATAAATAAAAGTAACATACAAAACGTTTAAAAAACGCCTCTTTGAGTGTAATATAAAATCTGAAAGCTTTCAGATTTTTTTTTCATTTTGGTTTTTAACAGAGGGCAAAGAAAATTGTATAGCATACGTTTTCTGATGTTGAAGCTTTAAAATGACGGACGTCAAATAATAAAAAAAATCGAGCAGTTTTCTAAAGTTTGTCAAAAAAAATTAGAAATTACGTTAAAACTTTCTATAAATTTCATTAAAAAATTTTTAATTTAAAGGATAAATACATTTTTAATATTTTGATATTTTGCTCTTTATATCATTTTATATTCAAAACCAAAATGCAGACAGCTGCACTGACTTTTTTTAAATTGAAATTAATTTTGTGTCGGGTTTTATTCAACAATGAAGGTTTATTTCTACTAATTAGTAACGACATGTATTATTTCTATTTCAGCGAAATAAAATAGCTATATAATTTCTTTAATATGTTTAATTAAAAAGGTTAATAGTAAATTCTTCATTGTGATGTCAGATCCCAATATGACGTTTTCGCATAATAATACTTTTTCCCCTCTGTTCTTAAGATTTAATATCAAATTCAATTTCTCATGCTCTTTTATAGAGTCACTTTAAAAACAAATATTTTTGTTTTTTAGAAAAGTAGAAGAGCTGGAATTCAGGATTGAAGAAGAAAGTATCGGCAAAGAAGATTTGGAAGTAAGCCAAAAATACATACATTCCCAAATGAGACAAAATGCATAGATATATATTCGTAACTATAATGTAAATTTAACAACATATGTTGGGCAAAATGATAAATTTAGTAGTATCAGCAAACATGCAAAGAAAGTACTAAATTGAGCAAACATGCAAGGAAAATACTAAAGTTGGTGACAAAAAGTGACTTCATAATGCTTATTAAATTTTTTAGAGTACCTTCTTCGACAGGGAATTTGTAGTGAAGTTTGCGCTTCATTTAAATATGACATTGATTAAATTACTTCCTTCTAATGGCTCATACGTAAAGACTGCATTTCGTAAGCAGCCAGGAATATTCTTAAATGCTCATATTTCTAATGGATTAAGGCCGAGTGATAAAGTCGTTGAACACTAATAGTTCGATCCGAGGTTCAAATCCCGCGAACAGGCTGGCTGCGTTAGCGTTTTCGTGGTTTTCTCAGTGTATACGAACCCTTAGAAAGCCCTCCACGAAGACATCCCTTCCCTTAAGCAGATAGCCTTCTAGGCTTTGACGTAATCACGCAGACCAAACCAATACATTAAGAATTGCGCATGTATATCGAAATAATGAGCAAGACTATATTCGAGTCATTCGCATAAAACTTAGTTTAAATCATGCAATTTTAACTGCTATTAATTGTCGCATAGTTTCTAAATTAAACGATTATTAATGTTCGAAGTAATTGAAAATAAATAATTGAAAAGCTTTTTATTCAGTAAAAGAACTCTGAATTCTCTGAATAACTCTGAAGCTCTTTTAAGAGCACTTTCTTGCCATTCACTGAGAAATTTTGTAAACTCAGCTTGAGAAAAAATCTACAGATAAATGAAATCCATCAGGATTGCATTATTTTTTAAACACAGTGACTTCTTTTGACAACTAACTCCTTAAGATGACCACTTTCATAGAGATCAGCATCTTTAGAACGTAAAAAACATCAGTGCCACCCAACCGGTACAGCGGTTAGTGTCGCTGACTGCCGCGCCGAAGGGTCCGGATTGGAATATCGTGCGACATGGGGGCACTCTAAATATATGGCGAACCGAAAGACCTCTCGAGAGGTTAATGGTAGGAGAAGAAAGCTAGAAAACTGGAAAACCCTAGGACGCGGGTACTCTCCATCAAAATTGGGGGGGGCGAAACTGAGTTAAATTGCACTGTCACCTGTAAGGTGCTCGAGGCTGTTGCCAACGGCAGTCGTTATCTTGTGCTTTTGGGCACGAGAAATATCAAGGGCTTGGACTGACTATACGTCAGATAAGTGACAAAATCGGACTTTTCCTGAAATGACATCCCAGTTTTTTCCATATTTCGATTCTACGACTCAAATTATCCCTAAATATTAAATTTTTTAAAATTCGGTGCGAAATTTATGGAGAATTTCAAAAATTTATGTTGGCGCATTTTTTTTTTTTTTTAGTTTGCGCCAAGAATAATTCACTTGGCAAACTTCTTAACAGATGGCAACTTAAATTTCATTTCCCTTTTTATATTGTGCAAGAGCGGAAAAAAAGTAACATCGTACCTATTTTCAAATAATTTTAACAAACTACCTACACCATATTTGATGTTAGTATCGCTTCCAACAAATATGCCAAATTTCAAAACGCACCAATATATAAATTCACGTATATCTTCGAAAATTCGAATAAAAATCTCTAATTTTTAGCAAGGATGCATAAAAATAAATCTTCTTTGAGATGATGGTAAAAATTTTATAGGTTATAATTCAAATTTGTTTCGAAAAATTTATAAAAATTATTTTAAAATACAAATGTTTTAAATAAATCATAAAAAATGGGCGAATTTTATGTGGAATGAACCTAAATTTGTAAATGTGAAAGGAAGAATCAAATAAGTTTAATAAAATAAGGGAGATTAATAAATATATACGAAATTCAATTAGCGTTCATTTGCTAGAATTTTGAGATCTAATTTTTTAAAAACTACTCGTGCGATTTTTACAAAACTTTGCAGTTTAGCGTAATTTGAGTCTCAGAATCAAAATATGGAAAAGCATTGGCATGTCATTTCAGAAAAAGTAAGATTTTGTGTCAAAATACCTTATATTAGAAAAATTGCTCTTTATATAAATCTAGTATATATCCAGTGGCGCTTTCCAGAGATGAAAAACGCAAGTAGAATTTCGTCAATCGGCCCAGTGGAACGGGAGATTTAGAACTGTCTTTTTTTTTCGTAGTGTATATATTGTAATAAGCATTTATATGTACGTATCAATTGGATTTTTAAGTTAATTAACTGATGTAATTAGCATATTAATGCTCTGACTATTTCAAATCTAAATTAAATTCTTCGCAAAATTTTGCTATCTGGACTCGTGAGTAGATTGTTAACATCGCAGTATATATCGATGCCTCAGGAGGCGAAGAGCAAGGGATCAAACAAATTGAAAAATGAATTCTGCATTTTAAAAGAAAATAAAAGTTTTAAAATTAAATTTTGACATACGTTTTCTTAAACTTTCGAAACTAGTAAAATGCCATAACAATATATGCTTTTGGTATATGGAATTGCATTTGCTGTTCGATAAATTCAAAAAGCGAGATTTTTAACATCCAACAAAAACTTGTTCATCCAAGAAAAATCAGTTCTCTATCAGAACTTTGAGAAGCTCAGAAAATAAAACTTCTCATACAAGAACTTCCTGTCTAGGCTGTATTACAAACACCCGCCACCTAGCACACATTGTATTTTGTGATAAAATAAAGTACACAGATATCAATTGTCAAGATAGTATTACACTTCCGTATGCTTGAGTCTTTGGGAAACAATCTTAGCAGTATAATGTAATAAGATTATGAGCTGTATTTCGTTTTCCTTTTTTAGGCGGAGCGCGAGAAAGAACGACGGCGGATCGAGGAACTTGAGAGGAGGCTGGAGCAAGAAATTCGAAAGAATGAGATGATTGCCGGTGGCGCCACACCCGTGAGTAACAACAATTTTTCTATTTCCGGAACCCATTTTCCACAATGCAAATTCAGCAAATTACAAATGGCAGTCTTATACATTTTCTTTTCGACATGCAATAATGTTACGCCCTAATGCCTATCGTAAAACGAAGCACTCACATACAACCTTTCTTAAGCTGCCCATGCATATGCATTCCTGCGCAGTTATCATTATGATGTTGCACGGGTGCTTTTATGACTCGTGAATGGCAACGCAATCGAAGATGTGCAAACCTCTGATGCCCAACAACTAGACACAAGATCCCGAAATTATAAGAAAAATTAAAAAGAATATTGATCGTAATCGATATGGAGAATAAACATATTGATATAAAGGGTGGGTTCAGAAATATGTTGATATAAAAGAGTGACGCACATCGGAATAGATTGTCTTAATCATTTTGTACTGTATTTTATTTTCATGTCCGGATTCTCATTTTAATAAAACACTTATGGTTACGACGCTGTTTGATGGTATTCTCTATTACTTTAAAATATGGCGTCTCAAGCTCATTTCAGTCCCCTCAAGCTTTTCTCGTAACCGTAATTACTTTTTCCCCTGGAAGAGTTTATATTGACTTTTCGTCGTTCCTCCTCTTCCTATATGTCGTGAATACTGCCAAGTCTGTACGAGAAGATCGCTTCCTTTAGGCAGATATCTCTCGAATAATTTACCATAATCTAACTAATCCAATCAATCTAACCAACTGTAATTCAACTTGCAACACGAAAAAAAATCAAGATGCTGATTTTGGCCCGTGATATCGAATGGGTAAACTGGTAAAGAAAATGGAGACAAGTGATTTGGATTGTGATTAGTATATAAGTGATTAGCGTGTAAGTCAGTGGTAACTGGTTATCGCTGGCGGGTGCAGCAATGAAAGGATGGCTTGAATAGTAGTCTCAAATAAAATGCGAACATTTAACAGAGTGCAAGGATGATGGCATATGTTTACGCACCGAAAGATGATCCTTCAAACGTCTGCTTTAGTAGTAAGACAGTATGACATCAACCACGTAGAAACAATACCTAAACTCGGGAATTTTTAGAATTTAATATATTTGTTATCAAACAGATATCACGCGTAACATCATATGCTGGAAATGATCTCTGTTCTCTGCTGCATAATTTTACTTAATAGGGAAAAATAGATCTTTATTTAGACTAGCAAATATGTCTTTCAATTAATTTGGAATTCAAAAGTATATCTAAATGTAGTATTGCACTAACTCACACCGGTGATCATCGTGAGGAGTCGAGAACATGCATGTTATCGATGGTCAACAATCTCGGCAAATATCGATGTCCATTAATTTAATTTTCATGTCAAACTAAATTCACTGCACCGCTCACCAGTGAGCTGTGGTTGACCACCATCGACCATCAAGTCACCATCAATCGGCCATCAATTCACCAGTGAGCAAGCCCAGCCGCAAAGATGGGTACCGGTGTCCTACAGGTTAATTTTAACTTTAAAAGTATATAAATTGATTGCACAGCTTCATACCGACCGCTTACTGATTTAGTTGCCAGTGATCCTCAACCTGTACATCACCAGCCACCAACAACCGTGAAGGGTGCCGATGATCTTCGATTTAATTTTAATTTAAAAACACTTCTGAAATTTCACAAAATATGCATTTTATACAAGGATAATTCTATGAATATTTCCAACATTATTGTAATTAATAAATGGAGACTCTAATGCCATGCATTACAACCTTTGGTTTTTATTTTATTTATAATTTTTTAGACCTAATAATAACCATGAATATTCATGTTATTCTTCATCTTATTAAAACTATTAAAATCGGTTCTGTGCGAATTATCTGTTTACTTTAAAAAATATGGCATCGTTTTGTAATTATGATGTAAATATGTCTTTTTTTGAGGATAGAAATGTTTAAAATTTACTTTGTGTTACAGGATACTGTACTAAAAGAAGAAATTACAAGGCTAACTGAAGAAACAGATTCTTTACGAGATAAACTTAGACAAGCGGAACAGAAGATCAAAGAAGTCCAAACTGCCAAACAAGTAAGTGATGTTTGGGAAAATTAGTATTCAAGTAGATATATTACGTTGTGGGCATTATTGTAGCATTGTTTACAAGAGATTCATTATAACATTTAGTGCGTTTACAGAATGTTAGTACTCACTTTATTTAACAAATCTGAATAAATACGCCAAACGATGTAACACAGTTTGCTCTCCTAAAATATCGCCTGCTTATGCAAGGACTTTTCTATGTAGTTAATCGTTTGTTTGGATCCATGTTTGTTTCCGAGTCCAGTATCGCGGATCTGAAATCTGAAGAAAGAACAGTAATAAAACTTAAGCTGTAAAGCGACCATTAATACTGATTCTTCAAATAAATTGTGACTGGAAATGAAAAATTGATTCTTTGTTTATAGACTTGAGACCAAAAGGCACATATCTGCTTGAGATGGAAGAAATTCATTGCGACCCAGAACCTTCCGTAGCAGCTATCTCTAGCAAAGATGATGTTAAAGATGTTTTTTGCATGAAAAGAGAGAATTCACGAGGAATTTGTTTCAGGGGGACAGATGGTTAACTCTCTATTTTATAAAGATGTAATGGACAGACTCCTGTTAATAATTCAGCGTGTTAGGGCTGAAGAAGCTCGCACAAATAATTCCAGAGTTTTTAATTAATATCTCGGATGATTATAGTTAGACGAAGATGAGAATAGTTGAAATGGCGTTTCATGAAATTTTGAAATCCAGGGCTACCTCTCTCGAAACTCAACTTCCCGTCGTTCCGGGGAAGATTATACTATAACCAAATAGACGCGCGCAGAATTTTAATAGTATAAGTTATGTTTCAAAATAAAGCTGAGAAGCTAAGAATTACATTCAGTTTTTAACTAATATAGTTATGGATTGTAATGTACAAGCATATAGAGATGGTACTTCTTAACTATAGTATATATTTTTGAAGCGCAGTTACATTACTAAAGAAAGGGGCAAAAGAAATGTCACATTTCTGAAGAGAAGAGCGAAGACATGGAGAAGAAAGCATGAATTAATAAAATCGTAGTTATCAACCCATGTTCAACCCATGATCTCTTCTTCACCAGGTAGAAATTTTATTCCCTTCATCAGGTATAAGGGAGTAAACTTTCTGCAAGAAAAGCAAAAATTTCAGTGACTCTTTATTTGCGTTTTTTTTTTCTAAGAGAAAATTCTTATTGTGTACTATTTACTTTTATTACTTGACAGGACTGATCTATACATTTTTTCTTTTTTTAACTTACATGACATTTTTGGAAAACTTTCTGATTTTTTCTTTTTTGACATTTTGGAAAGCGTTTATAATTTTCTTTGCTTTATATTTCCATTTTTTATTTTCTTGGCTTTTCATAATTTTCCAGAGGAAAGAGAATCCTAACACAATTCTGTAAATTTCAAGATCCGTCTTCTTCAGAAACAAACCACTTTTGCCTGTGTTTAAATATATATATATATATAATTGAAAAAATATAAATATTCTTTAAAAATTAATAAATTTATAAAAATTCTGAAATGGGTTTCTCATATATATGAGGAACTCATTTCAAATTATTTCAAAATCGATAGAGCAGTATATAAATTTACTCCAGTCTTTTAGACCTAATTTTACAAATGTAAAGGCCGCCTAACCCAGTGGTCGGCAAATTTATTAGCCAAAGAGCCAAATATGAACATTACAACAATTTAAAAAAAAAGATTGGGAGCCAAATATGCTTGTTTAGTAAACTTTTATTACACTAAATAAAACTAAATTTAATACTTAATAAATATTTATTAATGCGAACAATGTGCTTGCATCTCCTTGGAAAGTTTGAGTAATTCTGATTTGCATGTTGTTTTTAATTTTAGGCATGATTCCAAGTTATCATCAATAAGACGACTTCTCAGTTTATTCTTGAAAATTAATGTTCATACTTGAAAAAGATTGTTCGCATATATATGTAGAACCTAAAGGGGGAAGAACAGCAAACGCAAGCTTTTTCAGCTGATCGTAAGAGTCAGGAATACTATTCCAAGCGTTGAAAATGATCATGTCTTCCTTCTCCAGGTCATTCAAAGCAGACCACTTGTGTTGTAAACTAAAATCACATTTTTCTTCTCCAATATTTCCAGTTCAACACAATGACGTTCGAATTTAGAGCGCTATATCTCTTTGCTTTTTAAATTCAGCAATTGTATTTCAAAGCTACCAATGTCAATTTCAAAAGGAGAAAATTTCAACTCGATTATCGTAACATTAAGAGGATTTCTGCCAAATGCTAAAGTTGCTCTGCTGTTTTTAAATTCTTGAAACCTGCTGAGAAATGCTTCCCTCATATTTAACATTATTGTTTAAAAATGCGATGCTTCAGCAGGCTCGGAAAGTGAAACAATGTTTCCCTTTCAAAATCCTGTGCAAAAATGGATAATTTAGTTTCGAATGTTATTACTTCTTCTAACATCGAAAAAATTAAGTTTCCTTTCCCTTGTAGTTTACGACTAAGCTGATTTAGATGAGACGTAATGTCTACCATGAAATAAAAGTTTTGGATCCACTGATCGTCTGTTAGTTCTGGATAGCGAACGCCCTTCTCAAGGAGAAATGCTTTAATTTCCGGAAAAAATGGACGCGAAACGTTTAAAAACGTTCCCTCTTGATAACCAACGTACCTTGTTATGAAGCAGAAGATCAGCGTACTCACTCTCCATTTCAAATAAGAATTTGAGATGGAGAAATTATTAAGACGATGATTAAGAGCTTTAGCTAAAATGGAGTTAATAATGGTAATCACTAATTCCATAACTTTACAAATTTCTTTAGGAAATGTTTGTACACAAAGCGCTTCTTGGTGAATGATACAATGGTAAACAAGTATCTCGTGATTAATTTTTTCTTTCAAAATAGCAACAACCCCTTTACTTACGCCGTTCATACTTTTGGCCCCATCTATTGAAATCGACACAATTTTATCGAGGGGAATATGATGCTTATCCATAACACTCAATTACAGCATTGGCGATATTTTCTCCACGCGTCTGACCTTTCAGTGGCAATAATCCTTAAAAGTTCTTCTTTAGGGCCTGAATGAGACATAAATCTTACAAAAAGTGAAACTTGCGCTGTATCATTTATGTCACAAGACTCGTCAACTGCTATTGATAAAGCCGAAACCAATTTCAGATCTTCGATATGCTGGGTGATTATATTCGAACACATTTTAATTGTTCTATCTTTAATGGTTTTTGAAGACAATGGTAACTCTTTAATTCTTTTCAGAATATCTGCTTTTTTCTTAAAATCTCGAAATAGCTTTTCGGATGCATTTATAAAACAATTTTCTATGTATTCGTCGTCTATGTACGGTTTTCCTCTCTTAGCAATCTCTTGGCTACAACAAAACTTGCCATATTAATATTGCTGGAAGATTGCATCCAGTTATTAAACACAGAAGTTGACGACTCTTATGAAGTTCCTCAACTGCTTTCTTCCTTTGCATCACCGGTAGGATATTTAGTGCTAAATGACGCGTACTGTCTTGTAAAATGTCTCTCTAAATTTGACATCTTGTTATGCGCGAATTTCTCCTTACAAATAAGACGTGTCGGAAGTCCATTCAAGTTTTGAATAAACGCAAAATTCTCGGTCCACTCAACTTTAAATTCGCGGTTTTCATCTTCCGTTTTTCTTTGCCTTTTTTTTTTTTTTTTTTTTTTTTGGTAGCCATGTTAATTGGGGTGCCTATAAAAATATTCCAAATATATTTTTTCTAAAGCCACCAGCACAAAATTATTATCATTATTAAATTGATGAAAATAAAAATTTAAAAAAATCTTTTTAAATAATACAATTTTATTAACATATGTAACTGCACTAAAAAGAAAAAAAATAATTCCATCATCAAAATAACAAAACTTTTAATATGATCAAAAATGGAAGAAAACTTCCAACATTTGGACACATAGAAGTTATCGAAAAACCGATTACAAATTTTGTACCGGAACTACAAACATACATAGCAGGTGTAATAAAATCGTATAAAAATACCTGTAAGATGTGCAGCTAGATTAAAAAATACAACAACTTTTTAATAAGACAGGACAACGGCAGACACGGTAGATAAGACAAAACTGTTCACACTGCAACTGTTGCTCTGTGATGCCAATTTGTACCTTCACTACTTTATAAAACGCATGCACGCGCATGCCGGTAGCTTGTACATGGTTTATGTTTACGTTTACGAAAACTAATAAAATTAAACTCGATGTTCGTTACGTATATTTACAACAATATAAAATTTTAATTACCCATCTTTTTACTCAAACAAAAAATTTACATGTTCTCGATTTATAGAAGAATTTATCAAAATAAGATGTAATTTTTTCTTACATAGTTTTTTTTAAATGAAAATATTATTGCGCCTTCCATGGATATTTATACCAGAGCCGCACTTAAGAAGCCAAACAGCCACATGCGGCTCCGGAGCCGCACTTTGCCGATCACTGGCCTAACCTGGACAGTGATTCTGATTCCCATACCGAAGGGCCTAGGCTCGAATACCGGAAAGGCACGGGATGTTTGCAAATATCCAGTGTCTGTGCGTCATGAGGCATTTTAAGTAAAGCGGTCCGCTGAAAGTCCTCTTGAGAGATTGATGGTAAGGGAAGAGGCATAGAAGACCCTCGGACCCGTGCCCCTCTTCCCGAGATGCACTCCATCAAAATTGGGGGCGGAACTGAGCAAAGTCGTACTGTCACCTGTATGGTGCTCAAGGCTCTTGCCAACGACAGGCGCAGTCTTGCTCTCCTTGCCACGATGAATTTCTTGGGCTTGTTCTGATGTTGCTGTCAGACAAGTGAGATTCATAAAAACAACAACACAAATGGAAACAAATTAATAACTAATTTTAGAGAGAAAAACAATCCATATAGATAATTTGAGTTCTGCTATAATGGGAAATCATTTCTACTTTCATGCCGTATATAGCAAAATAATAGCAGTAACATCTAAGATATTTGTGATTTTTTTAACTTATTTCCCACAGAAACCCTCCCCTACGTCATCCGTTAGAGCGGACGAACTGACAAAAAAGGAAGAGGCCCTTCTCCAAGCACAATTGAGTCTCGATAACAAGAAACGGGAAGTGCAGAACTTACTAGACAGGATAACAGAGTTGGTAAGTTTCGTTGTTGCCTTTTTATCTGCCCGTCCATCGACAAGAAATCTCCTTCTCACTTACGCCCACTGACAACTGCGGTGAAATGAAGTTGCGGTTATAGGGAATGTTGAGAAGGAAAAGAAAGGTCTGCCCAATTCCCACGTTTTAACCTTCAATCTTCCTTTTTCTGGAGGGTAAAAAACAACTCTTTTTTTTCATTTAAGTGAGGAAGGTAGAACTGAAAATTACTGCAATCTGAAAATCGAAGGTTACTTGAAAAAATGTTTATCGTTAAAATGTTTTCTTAAATTAAACAAAAAGTAAAGCAATTTCTAAAATATAAAAACATTATACAAATATTTGTGCATATTTTTACTTACGGATACAACCCTACTGAAAATAAATTTCAATTTCAAAAAGTTCTAATGTTTCTTTCTGCGTCTGTTTCTTTGGTAAAATGATGTAAAAAGAAAAGCATTAATTTATTAAAATAATATATTACCATTTGACCAAAAAGAATATTAATGTATATTAAGACTTCTGAAATGTCTGCAAAATTTAATCATTTGTCTGTATGTCTGCAAAATTTAATCATAATCATTAGATTTAATTTTTAACGCAGGCGGATTGTATTATTAATTTATTAGGCGGATTTATTAGATTTTATATTTAACGTAATACATTCCTTTTAAAAAAAGCATCATTAAGAAAGAAATTGTTTTTATTGTTTATTGAAATTGAATATGCATAAAGCCCATGCATGCACAAGTAATGAAATGATTAAAAATTCAAGGCCATAGGATCCATCAGTGGTCAACATATTGAATGTTCAAATCAATAATTGGCGATGCATGCTTGTAAGCGTTGCGGTTAGGAGTGAAAAAAAGTGTCTTAATCTCATCCTGCAATAGATTCCTTCAGAAATTCATCAATTGTTACTCCATATCTGCGATATTTTCGGTGCCCGAATCTGGCAGCCTACCATACGTGTTCGGTTTGGCGTAAGGTCTGGTAACTTTGGTGGCTAAGGAAGGATACAAACAACTCAGAGACAGTCCAGAGATTTGCGAGCCGTAGGAGGTGTGGCATTAGGTCGAAGTGCTGACCAGAGGTAATCGCTGTATGCCTCTGTAAACAATGATTGGGACCTCTGGCCATGGCCCCCTCCACAAACGGACGTGATGGTCATCTACTTTAAGACTAAAGCGGGATTCGTGGCTGAACTCTATGGGATTCCAGTCGGCTGGCAGCCATGATGATTGTCTACGACACCACTCCAGACGACTTTGTCGATCTTTTAGGTTTAAAGGCAGCTGTGAGCGCAACCTCGCCTTGGCCAAACGTCTTGGGATGCTGGAAGGTGCTACGCGTGGTATGGAAGAGGCTGTAGCAAACTGGGTAGCGGGCAGTTCGAGCCTCTCGCACAATCATCCTATCTTGCCTTGCATTCCTACACTTCCACCTTCAAGAACCTTGATTTTAACGACGAATACCTTGCAGCAACCACTGTTAGCAGCACCTTTGCACAGCCGTATCCGTAGGATGCTAATGACGGCCTATTGCTCAGTATGACCAGCTTGCTTCACGCATCCTACTAAAGAATGACGTTCGAAGTCGATAACGTCGTAACGACATTATTGGTTGGGTCTTCAGAGAATGGAAACGCCCACAACGAAAAATGGTAAACCGTCAGCAAGTGTTACCTGTTTTATACACTGGTAGCACAGTAGATATGCGCTCTCTGACCGAAGTTAACACTGATTGGCCTTGAAAATGTAATCATTTGCATATCTGGTATGAAGGAATCTGCATGCAAAATTTCGAGATCATTGATTTATTTTTTAAAGGTGCTCCGTTTCTTTTTCTTTCTTTCTTTTTTTTTTTTTTTTTTTTTTTTTTTTTTTTCGAAAACAGTATGTATGCAGGAAGTAGAGTCGGAAATTTGCAATCGATCTATGACAGATATTTAGAAACCTATTTTATTGATGACATGAATGTTATAAAGTGACACCTTTTGAAAAACGTTAGAAAGAAATCAAGATAAAGGGGTTTACAAATAAAGATACAGTGATTTACAACATAAAGTGAGATACTAGAAAAGTGACTGCTTACTAGATAAAGTGAGTGATTTATTAGATAAAGTGATTTACAAATTTACGCCGTTTTGAGCAACACTATTTTCTAATCTCAGAGATTAAATGAAAAATCTTAGTTATCGTAGACTAGCAACAGCATGTTTATGTAGGGTATGATATTGCCGAATCTGAAATCAGGAATAACTTATAGAAATATTTAAAAATTACTGTCTGAAAAAGCTTTAGATGTTTTTTTTAATGTTAGTATAACATAAAAAAAATTTTAAAGAAAACTTTATGTTTTTTTAATTAAGAAAAAAAACTGCAATCTGATCTTTGCTTTTAGATTTTTATTTAACACTTGAAACAGTTTTAAAGCAAGCCATTATAGTAGCTTACTAGTTTAAAGTACATTTTTCGAGGTGTTAATTTATTTATTCAGGTTTATTTTGAAACTGCATGAGCAGAGTCAATATGTTTCTGCTTTTGTTTACTGCACATTTCAAACTGAGTATAAATTTCAGTAATTATTCAAGTTATTTCATGTCTACAACAAATTAAATCATGCTTAGTGAAAATGATAAACAAAGATAGTTTTACCCCACAAGCTTTGAGAATTCTTGAATCAGTAATTAATTTATGAAAATTAAAAGCATTTATAGCCAATAAATATTATGAAACTGATATTTAATTGCATTTACAGACTATAAAAGTTATGTATTATGTATATTAGATTTAAAGTAGATGTTGCTATAAACACTCAGGTGATTTTATGCATTTCAGGAAAAAGATCTAGAAAAAAGCAAGTCTCGTCAGTCGAGGCAATTGGACACTATCGATGGTGAGTATTAGTTAATGATATTAACTAAACAGTGTTAAAAATCTTTTAAAAATAGCATCAAGTAAGATAAATATACTAGACAGAACGAGCCAAATGCAATTAAATAGAAAATTATCCTGTTTTCAAGAGCAACATCCATTTGACAGACTGTTTCTAGGCAGAATAATGAAATACACTAAAACCTATTATGGCAGCACTCCCCTAAGGTAAATCAAAAATAAACATCGGAATTTTATTTTTCTTCAGAAGTTAGATCTTCAGAAAAGGAAAAACATTTTGAAACGTGAATAGTCAGTTGTTTCAGATATTTGTTGACTCTAATAAACATGACTTGATGTAGTGGCTGTTGGCTCGAGTATATTCAGTACTTAGCAGACAAGAGCTACTAAAAAAATAAAAATGCCGTCACGCTTGTCACATACATTCAATTCTTAGCACGAGATCTAATGAAGATGAAGCGCCATCACGCCCCAGACCATCAGGTTTAGTAATCGTCCAGTATGATGCTGGATAGTGGACTACGGAATATGGCTTTCAACCCTAAAGCGTTTAACACGTAATCGACCATCGATGTACTCCAAATTCACGCAGGAATCATCGGAAATAACAATCCGTTGCTGATAGATGCGTCTATAGGTGTGTTGGTGCCACTATAGTCACATGTGTCGATGGTTTTGGATAAGAGGAACCCTGTGCAAATGAATGCATGCGCACAGTTCATTGCGCAGCAGACGAGCTTTTGAGATGGAAGCTGCATGGCGCGATAATGCCGTGCGGATGAAGTGTCTCTCATCTCGTGTTGACATAACATTTCGTGGTCCACTGACCGGGTTGCGTCTTGTCCGATTATCTTGAACCCACTGCCTTCCGTACAGACATCACTGATGAGGCGCTTACTTCTCGCAAGCCGATTTTTCACCTTTCGTTCAAACGGTGTAACTTGGTTATATTAGGCGCTTTGTTATTGACGAGGCATAGTGACTTTTCATGAAATGTTAACAATTGGCAGTTAATGAAATACTACTTTTAACGCTCCGCTGTAATCTTGTATGCATACAACTAACATGATAGTCCACGGGAAGCTGCTAAGAATACGCATGTGCTATCACTCAAATAGTTTAATGATTTGCATATCATATCCTGCTTTTCATTTCTTGTAAAGTTTCCTTTATTCGCATGATTTTTTTTAATTCTGTCGCAGGTTTCACAAACAATAGCATATACAGAGAGAAAGGTTCAAATTGTTTGTTTCCCAAATCTACAAAGACTTCGTTAAAGGCGTTTTTAATTTTTAAAAAATGTATTGTATTTCATGGTTCATATGGAAGAATGCGAAATCTGTGATAAACCGGATTTTTGTACTTAACTGATTTCCATTTCTGAGATTAATTATGTTCCAACGTAAAGAAATATTTTTATTTTTTGTATTTGACGTCATTTTTTATTTTTAGAACTTGACTAATGTAAAAAATTGGTTATTTGTTTAAATCAAGTATAATGGCTGTATCGTTCTAATTTTAATGTAATCTATTCTTTTGCAGAACTCAATGTGAAGTTACAGAAGTCAGAATCCAGATGTGCTAGCTTAGAAGAGGAAATGCACACTGCCAAAGAACAAATTCAAGGTAAGCTTCCGGATTATTTCTGCCCCAACAATAAATCGTTTAATATAGTTGATTTTGAAGTGCTTATACGCAAAGTAAAATTGAAAGTAAAGCGCTTAGAATTGTTCGTCAAAAATGCTCGAAAATTTGCATTCATGAGGATTGCGGTCCCACATTTTCCATGACGTTTTCCTATATTTGAGGAAACACCTCTCAAATGGGCTGTTAGGCGTTTCTAGCGATGTTTCTTTGGAAGATTTCGAAAAATTGAGAAACTTTTAGAAAATGGAAGCTTCCTTTTTAAACCACGTTATTAAAAAAATTCATAAAAATGTTCAGTCGTGCTCAATCAGAGAGATAAGTTTAGAATCCAGTTTTTATCCAGTCCATCTTAAGTAATATAAAGAAGCGTGCATCAGGATCTGAGAGATATGCCATGACCTTAAAAAATAAGTTAAGTTTAGCTGCTGTGTCCAAATGCTTTATCATTGTGTTATCGTCTGCTGAACTTCTCAATTTTGTACAAATTTCGCGTTTAAAGATCTCGTCTTTCTTGCATTCCTCTTCATCCTTAGATATTCCTTCCATAATCGCCTTTTATTGCTGCTTCTGAAGTTGTTCCACTTTTTCATTGCTGAGCTCGTTTTTAGTACTACGTTGTAGTAACTCCTCCACGTCTTCATTTTTAATTACCAAGAACATGATTTGCCTAGCGATAAAACATCATAAATAACAAATAAGGATAATAATTCTCAGAGTCGAAGCCTTCAAAGTCTCTGCCTTCAGCACAATTTGTCTATAATTTCCATCCAGGCAGAACTCATCTGCTGCTTGCTATATCAGTGAGAGTTAAAAAATGGACAATATCAAAATCACGTTTTCAGAAGTCTCTTGAGTTTTAATTTTGTATCAGAGCTCACCTCCAAACATCTTTAAAATTATTTATTACTGGTTGCCTGTTTGGTATCCCAGATACCGCTGTCATCTGAATCCCCCCCCTTTTTTTTTTTTTTTTTTTTTTTTTTTGGCTTCCCAACATCTCTGTTAAATTTCCCTTCGTTCTGGTATTAGTATTCTCCGTATTCTTAGTAATTCTCCTTTAACTATATTATTTTTCTTTGGAAACTCTGGAAATATCACATTATACTGTACATTTATTCTGCCGCATTCATACTGTTGCACTGCTTTATTTCTCTCTCATGATATGTGAATTAGTCTAAAATGTCATAATGCATTACGTAAGAGAGAGCAGAGTATAGTCTAGCCGTTCAATGTATTTTGCATTACTTCATACTATACAGTATGTTACAGTATGTTATATAATGTAGTATAGCGTATTTTATTATTCAATTACTTAATACTATATGGCTTTCCCTTATTGTGGATAACAAATATATTTTAAGTTTGATACCTTTACTAAACTTCTCTGCTTCCCCTCACATTCTCTCGCCGGATATAAATTTAAAGTTAAGTGAAGTGCGTATTTAAGTGGGTGTATCTCTGCGTTTACTCAGAGCGTGTTTTCGCTAGCCAACGCACGTTTCGCTTTTGTTTCCTTGTTACGCTAATAAGCCATTTCGGATTTATCATCGCATTATACTGTATATTAATAGTGTTAAGTTTTTGTAAGTCAACCTATTAGGCGTAACTTACGTGCTATACAGCATTACTTATTTTAGATTCTGACTTGAATTAAATTCTGCGTTTTTAATTTTACCGCAAGTTTGACGATGCCATCGTACCGCACGAAGATCGTGCCTGTTAACTATTTTTGAATTAATAAAGGGTTATTTTAACCCTTCTTCTGTGCTGGTATTTATTCACGCCTGTGCGAAAATTCACCAGGTTTATTGTAGGATCTAACTTAGTTTATGTGGAAAAACAGAGAACGACCCCACAAGTGGCGCCCGGACAGGAACTCAACGCGTATTTGAGAGGTCTGTGGTTCGAGCCCCGGTGAGGGAATTGCTCATTTTTCATATCTCCTGCTTCGAAATAACCTAATTTCTCTACAATACTACTAATATCTTACAATTCGTAATTTATTGACCATATTTAGTGTATGTTATCCTGTTTTATACAGCTTTCGTTGCTATTCTTGCTTGAGAATGATTGCTGGGTATAATTACTGCTGGGTATAATAACTTTTTTAATGGAAAATTCTTAATGTCTTTTACACTACATAATTTTTTCATCAAACCATGGCCATATTTCGTTACTTTGGAAGAAAAGTGACATAACTCGAAAACCAAAAAGATTTAATCAATGATTAAGACACAATAACACGCCGAATAAATACTAATTCAGAAGTCAAACAACAAAAATCAGCGTTATACCTACAAAATTTTCACAGGACTAGTTTCGATGGTTTTACCGAACCATCATCTTCAGCTGCAAAACCGCAAATGAACAAGATAGGAAATAATGATTAGATAAGATAAGAAAGCCTGAAAAAGAATAAGCAAGTGGCGCCATCTGTTGGCGAAACCAGAACTAAAACATAATTTCTCTAAAAGCCGAAGGCAAATTTGGATTGGAATTAGGATCGTTAACTAGAACAGAAAGATTTTTATGAATGTGAAATGCCTCTAGAAAATCCAGTTCTCCAATGGAAGATGTTTTTTGAATAATTTTGGCAGCAGAAAAATTGAAAGTGTAATTTTCGGACCAGCAATGTTGACCAGCAATTTTGTAGGTATAACGCTGATTTTTGTTCTTTGACTTCTGAATTAGTATTTATTCGGCGTGTTATTGTGTCTTAATTATAGAAGCCCCAAACAGGCTTACATTTTGCTTTCTTTTTTGCACGTGGTGTGGCCGCCATTTTGTGATTGTAGGAGTTTCGGTGAGTACATTTTTGCAATTTTCAAGTTATGTTTATGTTTTGTACATTTGGATATTGTGCTTTGCTTGTCTGATTTCATGCATTTTGCTTACAAGCGTTTTGTTTTCTATTCATTTCACTGAGGGATTTTTCTGCTGTTTTGTGTGTACTTTATTATTGCTCAGTTAATTTAGTTTGATTTTCTGCATTGTTTATCATGCCTTCATCCGTTAATCGTTTCACTAAACTACGCCTGAAACGGCAAAAATTCCTGAATCATCTTGACTTTTTACTTAAATGTAAATGTAAAAAATTGATCCCCAATTTTATTCAAATCAAATCTAATCAAAAACCTTCGAGTCGCGTTTCAAGAATTCTGTTAAATTGCAAGCTTGCCTTACTTCGGTCCGTGATAAGGGATACACGTCAACAATTGTCCAAAATTGAACATGAACTCTATAAGCTTCATCTGGAACTCGCTAAATCATATCCAAAATTCACTGCCCTTGAACAAAAGTCTTGGTCTAGAACGGAGAATGCAGTTAACCGTCATAAAAACACCCTTGCAGTTAAATTCGAAAAACTTCTTTTACAGTCTTCCAGTTCAAGTAGTTTCAAAAAATCTTCCCATTGTAAACATCAAGCCAATAGTTAATATTTCTAATGTTAGTCTTTCAGAAGAACAAGAGAGAATTCTAAAATATAATTTTAACTTCTCACAAACCTGTAAACCCTCGATTCCAAAGATTTTGGCTCCTATCGGAAAAAGCTTTCAAGTTCAGTAAAGTTTCAGATTCACAGAAAGAAATGATTAGGCATCTTATCGCTCATAATGTGAAATTCAATAATAAACCTTTGAAACCAAATCTAACTGCGAGAGAAAGAGCTACAATGCGCGAAATTCATTCTAACCCGGATATTATCATTTCAAAGGCCGACAAAGGTGGCCAGATAGTCGTCATGGATAAGAACACTTACATCGATGGTGTCACTAAACTCTTAAACGAAGGACCATATAATCCGATTCCTAAAGATCCTTCACCTTCGGACTTATCCAAAATAAAAACTGCGATCAAATGTTCGCAAATCATTTCAAGCAACTTAAAAACATTCGCTTATCCCATCTGTTGCGAATTGTGCCAGATTATATGCTCTTTCCCAAAATTCATAAAAGTGGTATTCCTTTCCGCCCTATTGTATCAAATTTAGGTACTGCCTCGTATCCTTAGCTAAATATTTAGTTTCTAGATTTTCCACTCTATTAGACAATAACATTTACACCATAAAAAATTCAATAGAGTTTGTAAAAAAGGTTAAAAACATTTCTCCTAGTAAATTTACTCATGGTTTCTTTTGATGTAAAATCATCATTATTCACCAATGTCCCAGTGGAGGGTGCATTAAGATGTCTAGAAACCAGACTTCGCGAATTTCATTTCTCTTGCTCTTGCATCGAAATTGAGGAGCTAATTTCTCTCACTCTGTTTGAAACAAACACATTTTGTTTTCCAAAATAAATATTACAAGCAAACTGAGGGATTAGCCATGGGAAGCCCCCTCAGTCCCATCCTGGCTGATATCTACATGCATTATTATGAATCAAAATTGTTTGAAACCTTAAACTTCCCGGCATGGTTCCGCTACGTAGACGATACTTTTACCCTGTTTGAAGGTAATAAAGATGATTTAAATAAAGTTCTTTCAACAATGAATTCTATTGATCCTACTATTCAGTTCACTTTTGAACTTGAGACTTGCAATTCTTCTTCCGTTTCCTCGACATTCTGGTCACACGTAACACATCCAACTTCAGTACTACAGTTTACCTACCGTAAACCTTCATCGGTTTGCCTTCCACCACACTTTAAATCATGTCATCCGACTAAACAAAAGTTAGCTTCATTTTATTCCTATGTTTTCCGTGCTCTTCAAGTTTGCTCCTCCAAACTAGACCTTGATGAAGAACTAAATTATTTAAAAGCAATAGCTATTGACAGGGGCTTTTTCACCCAACATTATTAATCAAGCAGTTAAAAAATTCTCATCTGAACACACTAAAAGCCACACTCTTATTTTAGGAGATTATAAAAATTCTGTTGTCATTCCCTTCTTTCCATCAATTAGCTATAAAGTTGCACATATTTTGCAGAAATTTAACTTTCGGGTTGTTTATTCTCCCATCAATAAAATTCCAACTTCTATACTCAAGGACCCCATTCCGGATATGAATTCCTGGGGTATTTATAGGATTCCTTGCCAGTGTGGTTTAATTTACATTGGCCAAACTAAGAGAGCCTTAAAATTTCTCGTCAAAGAACATGAGGCATATGTTAGAAAAAAGGAAACACAGAAGTCTTCTGTTGCTCAACATTGCTGGTCCGAAAATCACACTTTCAATTTTTCTGCTGCCAAAATTATTCAAAAAACATCTTCCATTGGAGAACTGGATTTTCTAGAGGCATTTCACATTCATAAAAATCTTTCTGTTCTAGTTAACGATCCTAATTCCAATCCAAATTTGCCTTCGGCTTTTAGAGAAATTATGTTTTAGTTCTGGTTTCGCCAACAGATGGCGCCACTTGCTTATTCTTTTTCAGGCTTTCTTATCTTATCTAATCATTATTTCCTATCTTGTTCATTTGCGATTTTGCAGCTGAAGATGATGGTTCGGTAAAACCATCGAAACTAGTCCTGTGAAAATTTTGTAGGTATAACGCTGATTTTTGTTGTTTGACTTCTGAATTAGTATTTAATCAATGTTTGACTGAATATGAAGAGTTTAACTAATAAACATTAGTGATAATTTTCCGTTAATGACTTCTTTCCACATAAAAATATATCACATTTTCGTTAAGCGAGAAACCACATTTTTGGAGTTATGCCGGTTTTCTTCCAAAGTAGCGATTTATGTATTTTGCAAGAATACTCTGCTTTATAAAGCGTTCGCTCTTATTCGTGGCCTCATGTATCTGCTTAAATGTTGGAATATATTTCCTATACGTTCAGTATTAATATTATGCCTTTCGAAAATACGTTTCGTAGTTCTTCAGAATGCGTAATTATTCTTTGTTTACAGTATTTATTTAGCAATCAAAATATCATTTAATTTTTTAGATCTGGAGCATCGTCTTCGTATCACGACAGAATGCGTTAACAACCTGGAATCTGAGAAACAACGTCTGGAGAAGCAGCTCCAATCTCCCGAATCAACGCCAGAAGAACAAGCCCTCATCTCTCGGCTCCGGGATCGGGAAAGGTTAGTTGCATCTTCTATTTCCTGATTGGTTATGCTGTTGGGTGTTTTCTAGCAGCCTCCCAGCAGCCTAGTATATACTATATGTACTTTACAGACTTTTTGTCCCATTACATCACACAAAGTATGCATACGCACAAAGAAAAGCAGAAATACCAGTGGAATATCGGAGGACAAATGTTTGAGTATGAGAACCGGATATATTTACTGACGGTTCGGGTTATGACATTAGAATTGGTGCAGTATATGTGATTTACTTGTTTGGTACAGAAGCAGACTATGGCAAAATTAGACTCGAACTTTAAAATTCGGTTTTTCAAGCCGAATTGGCTGATGTAATATTTGCACTTAAATGGATTGATGAAACCCTGACTGTAAAAACATGTATTTATATATATGTTACAGTGAAAGACCGAAATCTGGTGAATATCAACATTCACTGAGTCGCTTGGTGTATGTCTGAAATTGCTAAATATTCTTATTTCTCGGCGAATGTCGCCATTCACCATGCACTGATAATGTTGAATTAAAATAATTTTTTTTTACGTTTTTAAATCATTCTTTATTTATTAAAACATATTATGATATGTATCAAAATAAAAAAAGTTTATGTAATGTACTTTTGTAACACATGTAAAATAAATTGCTGAACATAAAACGACAATTACATTCTAAATGAGAAAAGAAAATAACACCAATAATAAACTTACTTAATTATGTGATTCACGTTATACAGTCTTATTTATTGCAGCAAAAACCGGTAATGGTCCGAATGTATAAGAATATATAACAAAATATTCGGCTTTTCACCGACGTAACTGGAGAATGTCGACATTCTCCGGTGATTGTCAACGTTCTCCAATTTCGGTCTTTCACGGTAACATATACATACAGTCACATTATCTAGTTTGGAAACACTAGCAGATGTTGATAACACCAATATTTTGGTCTCTTATGTAAAATATCTTGTAAACGTTGAGAAAAATACGTGAAGTGAAGTCCACATTGGCGTTATAGGCAATAAGAAGGGCCGACACCCTGGCTAAAGAGGCTGCTATGGGCAATGACGGGGATGCCTTCGATATTCAAGCGGCAAAAAGATTTGTTATTGGTAAAATCAGGGTTATTGGTAAAATTTGTTATTGGTAAAATCTATCATGATTGCTGGAAAAAGAAATGGAACATTTCGAGAAAAGGAAAGATTATTTATTGAACTTTTAAGTTTCTAAAAATATGAGAATGATATGTGAAAAGGAATTCTACCGCACAATAAGAGCTTAGATTTGCATAGGATTAGATTAACTTTATAAATGGCAATAGAACATTACTGGGAATTTTGGTTTGATGTTTTAGACTATTATTGTTTGAATATTTTGTTTTAATCTTTTAACTGTATTTTTGTTTGTCTGTGTTGGGTGTGCTGTATGAACCACGAGGCCGATTTTTATCGGTCAAAAGGGTTGCAACCCACTCGTGTATTACATTACATTGTACACATTTATCTTGAAATATGTTCAAATTGTATTTTAGAGTCATTAAGTTTATCGATGTTGCAATATGAAAAATATGTAGTACCTTCGTCGAGATTCAAACTCCGCATTGAATCCAGTCTGCTTTCAAGTACACCATGCGAATACTTTCTTTAAAAGCAGTCGTTAGAGAATATTTTATGTTTGTATGGAGTTCCTGAAATTCTTGGTACTCTTGTATCAGCAATGTACAACTTTGTCTCTTAACAGAATCCTCATTCTGATCATATTTGGATGTTGTTCCAGAGAGGCTGCAGAGTGGCGAAGAGAAGCCGAAGCAGCCCGCTCTGAGGTAGATCGTTTGCGCGAAGAGCGCGAGAGGATGAGAAAAGAGCTGGAAGACAAGATTCGACGACTCAAAGAAGATCATCTCCAAGATTCAAGAATGGAGAAAAAGAAAGCAGCGGTAAGTTCTAGAACACTACTGAAGCTAGGTTATCTTTTTATTGTAAGTTATTGTGTCACATTATTACAAATTAAGTTACCCAAAGCTAAGTTACCTTTCACGCTTTTGCTTAATCATCCCGGCTTTCATAGTCATAAGCTGTAAAAGTCACAACAATGTAGAATTCCTCACTTGTATTCTGCTAAATTAAATGTCGAGGAACCTAGTGAACTGTTACGCGAATTATCGCTTAAAAACAGAAATCGTTAAACTCAAGAAGGGTTAATTATCCTTTATTCACTCAAATAAGATGTACAGTTGGCCCCTTTTTTCGGGCTTACAACAAAGCCTCCACTTGGGCTTAAAAATAAGAACTAACAGTATCTAAGAGATTTAGACGAAGCTAACACAATTCAAATGTAGTTGGCCCTTAATTTTAAACTAGCCGGCGAACTATCAAAAGCACGTAATATACGACCAAGCGTAACAGCAGCTTATAGAGACTTAGCCCAAAGGTAAACGGGCTCTACTCAGGATTCCTAGCTCTCTCTCAAGAAGTAAGTTGATCTTTCCTTTAATACTATTTTTTACTCATTTGCATTCAATGCGATTCTAAAAACTCATTCTGGTAGAAAAATGTAAGTTGAAACGAGAAACGATAAGAAAGGTTAACTAAATTAAAATAAGTGTTATAAAATTAAAATATACCTTAAAAACACATTCCGAAGATTTAGGCGATTTGAGTCTCAGCAGCAATGAAATAAGGAAGTGCAATCATATGTGCATTTAATTTGTTCCAAATTTTAAACAGTCTTACTTCTAATCCAAATTTTCGGCTAAGTTACAGTTTATGGGCAAACTCACAGTAAAACTTTGAACAGTTGTACATTATATTATAAATATAAAACTAATTAATGAATAAAGTTAATAAAAGATGAATGTTTTCAAGGCATTCTGTGATATGTGACTTCAAAACTAAATCGATACAGGTAACTGCCTAATTTTCTGATTGTTTACATATTACAACAAGTGAAAGTTATTTCCCTAATCCGAAGGATCCTTTATCGGACGATTGTAAAACATCTACCTTCAGCTTCACCTCTGTTGTTTAGAAAGAACACTTTAACATCTGTTGCACATGTTAATAGTAATAGCACTGTTTTCGTAAAGTTAGATTTAATTTCAAAGAAATTGTATTCGGCAACAAATTTTTTGTTTATTTGTACTATCTTTTTGGTTTCAATTTATTTATTTGTTTACTATTCATATCGCATAAAGGTATTTTTCTCATAATAATCTAATACTTACTAGCTACTAAAAGACATGCTGCATGAATAGTAGATTTTCTACGGATCTTATTATTATGTTTCATAACCAAGTCATCTCATTTTCTTCCCCAATGCGCTGTAGCTGGAAATGGGATTTATCTTAAAAACTGAGAAATGTGGTACCAGGCTTTGATGGGTTCCAGCTATTTTTAATTTCTGACTCTTTTTAAAAGTTACGATTACAATAATATATCACCATATGCTTGAATTGAAAAATTCCTACAATGGTATTACCAGTTGAAATCATTGCCTTCACGAAGTTAAATGCAAGGATATTTTTCTGTGAAAATATACTTGCTCAACCTGTATTAGATTTAGGATTTCAAAGAAAAAATATTCAAAATGATTGTTAAATATGCGAATATGTTACTTAATTCGCGCAGATTAATTCTTGAGATCATATAAATTTCAATTTTATTTCAGGAGGCAGAGGAAACGAGCCAATCGAAAATCAAGGAATTGGAAAGAGCCTTGACACAAGTCCGGACCGAGCTGGAATCGGCACGGGCCGAGGCCGATGTCCGTCTGTCCAGACAGGAAGCTCGCCTTCAGGAGGCTGAACTCAAAACAGAAAGCCTGGATCGGCTACGGGAGCAGATGAGTCGAGTCCAAGCCGAGAAGGATCTCTTGCGCGTTGAGAAGGAAGAGGTAATGGAACTTAAAGCATTTCTTTCGTTTATGATACGCCTCTCAACCAGTAAAAATTGTAAATCTCTCCCACATGTATGTAAGATATCAAAATATAAAGAAAAATTTGTTACCAAATTAAACAAGATAGCATCTGCCTCGGGAATCCCTAAGTTAAATTCATCTATGCAGAATGAGCTCCGTCTCCAGTTTATCTTAAATAATTCAAGTAAGTGTATAAACGAGAAGAACTGAAACTTGGCTATAATAACGATTTTATTCTGCATTCATATAAAGCATCGTTCTCGATCCATTCAATATCCAAAAATGAAAGAAGAAAATTCTTACCATGCCACACAGTGCTTCCAAAATTAATGAAACAAAGTGTTTACGTTAAAAGTGATTTTTCTTAATCTTGTAGTTCGTCAAACAAAAACTGAAAATTATTGTCCTACAATCAGGTTCCTTACATCACGTATTTTGTGAATAAAGAAAAAGGTTTTAATAATTGCAACTAGATAATATCATATAAAAAAAATTTTACGTTTTGTGTGTTACCTTTATTTATTAAATATCATGCTCTTCGGACTTAAATCATAAAAGTCAGTTCAACAGAAATATCGCAAAATAATTTTTAAATGAGCATATTTTGAATTTCCTATACACAGTCTCGCGCGCTGGAGATAAAAATGTTTTTTTTTTTTTTTTTTTTTTTTTTTTTTTTTTTTTTTTTTTCGTACAGTGTTGCTATTGCTCGCCTTGAAATCGTTGAGTTTGTTAATCAAAAATTCGTTAAGTGTTACAAAATAAGAAATCGATAATTAAAAAAAAAAAAAAAAAAAAAAAAATCAGATTCCAAATTCAATCTTCCAGACGCCCATATTCAATGAAATATTACGTTATTTAAAAATGGATGGCTCTAGGTACCACTGTTTTATCACAATGCGAGAAACATACATACATTTATGTAGATTCTTCATTATTTAATTTCTTTAAATATAACACAGGGGGATAATATTTGGTGGCAACAATTTGAAAAGTGAACCAATGCAAAATGCCAAAACGAAATTAATAGTCTTTCTGAGCAAATTGTCCCTTTGAACTAAAAATTGCTAATCATTATTATTATATTGAAATTTTGAATACATAATGCTGTTGTTTTCTAACATTAGATTACAGTAAAATTTTGTTTTATGAAAATGAAAGATTAACATTTATATGATTTTAAATATCCGAATTTTGCTTATTGGGTTTAAAAATTAAAGAATTTTAAGATTTTATTTAGGGAGGGTTATTAACATGGTTAATATATTTTTGCATTATTGTTTAAATACATTTCAATTATTTTAACAATTATTTAACATTTTAGATTATTGTTTCAAAATTTGAATTCTAAAGAATGTTCTAATTATCTTAAGAACAAAGTGAATATAAACTTTGAAAGCTCCCATCGTACAATTTTTCACATATAATTATTATTTTTATAATGGAGTGAAATTTAATATTTTTTTTATAAAATGAAATGTTTTAGCGCTGCTCAAAAAAATCTTTAAACCAGGAACAGAGGTGCAGAACAAACACACCAGTTAGTTCAAGTGGATTTGCCCATAAGATGGATATGTTAGTATTCAGGGCTGTATGCGGTATTATATTAGAATGTGGGGGTCTTTAAATTTTATACAAAAGAAGTAAATTAGAAATGTATTAAAAATAATAGAAAGCATAATGTTAATAAAACAATTTCAAATGATGTTAAATGAAACGAAAATTAGTTTATAAAATCCTGAGTTCTTTTTGATCATGTACAATAATTAAAGGATCTATTCAAACTTTTTACAATGTGCGAAAATTTTTAAAAGGCCTTCCTGAAACAAATATCATTATGAAGATTTGAAACCTTAAACTTTGTGGCATTTTACTCCACATTTGATTCTTTCTCTCAATCTGGCTTTTCATTCATCTAAAAGTTTTTTTTTAAATTATTACTAGTATGGTATTGTAAAACTGCGTTCACTAAATTTTAATGGCATAACTTTGTAGAGACATTTATATTTTGTAAAGCAGGAGAAGTGAAAAATGACCAACGCATTCGCCAGGAATCGAACCACGATAGTATAATGAACCACGACCAGGAGAAGTGAAAAATCTCTGGAATACGCGCCCAGCGTGCAAACCACTGCCCCACGAAGCCACGCTAAGAAGGCGGGAGAAATATCTTAAAAACCTTTTAAAGGCGACTGTGGGTTTAGGGGACCCAATCGCCAAATCCTGGATGTGGAGAATCATCATCCACCCCCCCTTTTAGTTCGGGCGCCACTGTAGAGACATTACGTATTTTTTTAAGCAGGAGAAGTGAAAAATGAGCAACGCTTTCGCCGGGAATCGAACCACAGATCTCTGGAATACGCGCTCAGCGTACTGACCACTACACTACGAAGGCCCGCTAAGAAGATGGGAGAAATACCTTATAACTTGATTATACAAGTTATTCGTCTTAACTTGGATTTTAATTTTTGTATACGTCCTATAAAGAATTTTACAACTCTGAAAAGTAAATACAAACTTTCATTTTTTTCATAAACTACTAAACGCCAGTTGCCTTGTATAAGGAACGTAGATTTCTATGTTAAGCATCCCACCGTCATCAGCAAGTAATTACGTTGATTCGCTTTATGAGGACTTGCTCATTTTAATCAGAGTTTACTATAATATTAAATTTTTCATTTCTGTATATTAACTGTTACATTGCTCAACAATAAGGAAATTTAGTTTTGTTTCATAATAAGTATTAATTTTAATAAAATGTTATAACTATATTCTAGAAATATTTTTATTTTGTATTTATAATAACACATACTTTTTAATGAAAGATTTTTCACAAGACTGCAAGAATTTCTTATGTGATTTTGCAACCACTTCAAGAGTAAGCTCTTCAAGTGGCTTTTATATGCTAGCCACCTCAAGAGCTCTAATTTATATTTCAGAGGCTTTCAAATTGGACTCTAAATTTAATTTGCTGAATCATATTTTGTTTTAGTATTTGTAAATTACTTCTTGAAGCTATTTATTTGTTTTGCCATTGAAATTGTAAATATTCTACAAAATTTCTCTTCCTTTGCTGATACGCTAACGCTTTCTTCTCAAAAGGCTTTTCTCTCGGCCAAACCTTTTTCTCCTTGAAGAAGGGTGTATGTAAGATATCAAAATATGAAAACAATTTAATTGAACAAACTGACAACAGACCTTTGAATTTGACCGGCATCTGCGATTTTCCTGCAGTATCGCATTGCTGTAAACGTTTGCCCAACAGCTATCGAGAATTAAGCCAAGATTTTCCAAGCATGTAAATAATACTGCAACTAACTACGAAACCTCTTTTACTGTCTGACCTTCCTAACTAGAGGATGTCTCTTGCTTGGCTGCTTCTATTCATTGTTAAAAAGACAGCACGCCATAATCAAAACTGTAGGGAGATGATTGTCTTCATTGTGATGTGCTATGCCATAGAGTAATCAAAAAATAATAAAGATGTGTTTGGATTGTCAAATGATTTTGTAATTCTTCAAAAGTTCACGGCATCTTTTACCACGTTTCAGTGATGTTGCAACATCAATCCACTCGCTACTGTAGAACTGGTGCCTTCCCTAGTCAAGCACTCATCTGATATCAAATTACCTACAACGAACTACATTTTAACACATGTACTATATATTGAATGTGTGCATGAATGCATGAGCGTGTGTATACGTATGGTCAAAAGGACAGCTGCAGAATGGTTATGCACACTGAAAAGAATTTGTAGCCTCGAAGATGTAAAGGAGCAGATATGTTGAAGAAACAGCTGTACGCTGGTCGAAAATCGAGCCAAGGATCTCTCAGCTGTTAGATGGATGTCCTGAGCTTAACAGGACATAGGTGCATGGAAACACTTTATTTCTTTGTAAAGTCGACAGACATCTACAGTGCAAAATATAGTTATTGATACAGCAATAAAATTGTATTACTATATACAAGATTTGTTAAAATCTCATCAAAGAATTGCTTTAAGGACTGAACTATTCGTAAATAAGAATCGCATAGGTAAGATTCTTAATGTTTTATCTCTTTCTATGCTTCAATACCATGTGGCTGAGAGGTTAAAGACGTGAAATATTGATATTTTTTCATACCCAGTTTAGAACAGGTTGGCTATGTAAGGTTTTAGCAGTTTTGCTCTAATATAACAAAAGCATTTCATAAACGTTTCTTCTAATATAACAGAAACATTTCATTTCTTAATTTCCCTTAGAAAACCATGAAAGCATCTCACTTGAGAGACAGATGGTCTTAAGAGCTTTTTACCATTGTGAAAATAAACTAAACCATCCATACTTAATACAAATTCTCCTATAAATTCTTGTTTCATCATCCATATCAATAACCTGAGTGCCCGAACCTTCCGTCGAAACCTCTTCAAAAAAGGGAATCCATCAATCAATAACTATCCTTCACTTCATCTCAAATTTCATTTGTTTTTGAATGGCATTTTTTATAAATATCTTCCGAGTCTTTAACAAATTCATCCAGTTGTTTTCCAGTCCTGACTTTCTGCAAATTTCTTTCAAAACAAAAGACATCGCTATTAGCTGTTTTTCATAATTTATTAATTCTAAGTGCATTTGATGAAATACCAAATTTTTGCAGTACAGTGGAATCTCGAGATACGAGCACCACGTTATACGAGAAATTCGAGATACGAGGAAATACTTTCCTCGGGGAAAATTTGTCCCTAAATACGAGCAACGAGTCATTCTGTTGGTATGCGTGGCGCGTTTTACGCTTCGGCTCGACTCGGAAAATACCCTCTTCAGATCACTTAGTGTTCTTTGATCTACGTGTTTGTGCGCTTCTGAAATGAAGTTTCAAAGTGTTCCTTGTGAAATGAATTCCACAAATTGAAGTTCCAAAGCCGGAACAATAATGTCATTCTCCAAGTATATACTGTAAATCAGTGGTCTCAAACTCAAATTGTAAAAGGGCCG